CGAAATCTCCCCAATTTGAACCTCCAAAACCCTAATTTCTTCCTTGTAATTTTGCTTCAATTTATGCAATTCCTCCTTCAAATTGTGAGATTTTCCTCAGTGTTGTAATTGAATCATAAGATTATGGTTTGAAGGCGGCGTTTCGAGCTCGATTTTAGGGTTTGAAGGCGACGTTTTGAGTTGGAGGAAGGAGAAGGGGGTCGATTCGAGTGGGAGGACAGAGGTCGGGCTGTGCGCAGTGGGTAAAGGGAGGGTCTGGGGTCACCTAAAGGGGAGAGAAGTGAGCTCCGGCGGGATGGGGCACCGGGAAAAGGACCTGCCGGGCTGTCGGTAAGGAGGGGGTAGCTGGTTGTGTTTTTATTTTATTTTTTTTATATATATAAAATAATTATTTAAGTGTTAAAAAATAACCATGGTTAAGGATTTTAATCAAAATAATTATTATCATTGGTAATCAATAATACAAGTTTACCAAGGATAATAACAATTTACACAATTCACCACTAAGAAAAATAAAAACCATAGTGTTACTAAAGAGAATTTCCTTTCTGATTTTTGTGTGATAAAGAGTAATGGTGATAAAAAAAATTAAGGGACTGGGTAAACTTCACAATGGTCTGTACTACTTAATGAATACTCCAGCTGATTCTGTGAATTTGAATGTTTTGTGTACTGCATTTAGTGCCAGTAAAGGTAGGAATGTAGCTAGTGTGGAATCATTCACCTTGTGGCATAACAGGCTTGGTCATGCTCCCACACCTAAACTAAAGCTGATTCCAGCTTTGGCTGACTAGATGTGGTCATATGATTGCACTTGCATAACCTGTCCCATGGCTCGATCTGTCAAACTGTCATTTGTGTTGAGTAAGCTAATAGCTGATTGTCCTTTTGAAATCATACACATTGACATCTAGGGTCCCTATAAAGTGAATTTCAAGGGAAAGTTTAGATTCTTCTTGATATACCTGGATATATCTCTAGCAATAAAAATTTCAATCCCTAAGTATTCTGGAAACCTTTGTCATTCATGCAAAAACTCAATTTGGAAGAAAGGTGAAGACCATAAGATCTGATTATGTACTTGAATTGGATGATACTAAAGCAAATCCTTTGTTTGCCACTTATGGCATTATGCATCAAACCTCATGTGTTAAGAGACCTCAACAGAATGGAAGGGCTGAGAGAAAGCACAAACAGTTGCTTGAAATCACCAGAGCTCTTAGATTTCAAGCTGGTCTTCCATTAGCTTTTTGGGGTGATTGTGTTCTAGTTGCTGCTTATATAATCAACAGATTGCCTACTCCCATTCTAGCCAACCAAACACCATACCGGAAGCTTCACAAAAAACCTTTCTCCTATGATGAAATAAGAGTGTTTGGGTGTCTTTCATTTGCCTATAACCCCACACTCAAACCTGACAAGCTCAGCCCTATAGGGGTGTGCCTTGCATTTGGGTTATCCACCTAACACCAAAGGGTATGTGCTTATAAAATTGCTCACTCAAAAGAGATTCATCTCGAGGGATGTGAAGTTTCATGAGAACATATTCCCTTACAACAATGATGAAATAATGCCACACTCAAACCTGAGAAACCTGTTTCTACAGATACACCCCAAACACCATCTCCTTTGCAGTATGAAGATATGTCACTAATATAACTTGCAAGTGACAATACTGTTCAGGATGCTGAACCTGCCTCAACCTCACCAGAACAAACCACCAGCCCACTAAAAACACCTCAAAAATCCATTCCAAAACCTGAAGATTAAGATAAACATGTGGTTAGAAGATCCACTAGACCCACACAAGAACCTGTGTGGATGAAAGATTATAAGAAACTGGCATGTGCATTTGACAATCAACCAATGTGTGTTGCTGGCCTGGGAAATACTGGTGTGACTTCAGAATTTTGGTGCTTTCTGGCAAATGTAACCAAGGAGGCAGACCCTACTTCATTCAAGGAAGCAAGCAAAAATCCAGCCTAGATAGCAGCAATGAATGAAGAGTTGTTAGCTCTTGAATCAAATGAAACCTGGGAACTTACCAATCTGCCATTTGGTAAGAGAGCAATTGGAGCTAAATGGTTGTACAAAACCAACCTAAACCTAGATAGATGGATTTGAGGAAAGAAAGAAGGCTAGACTGGTCATTCTTGGATGCAGACAAAGGCCACCAGGGATTGACTTTGATTAAAAATTTTCCCCGATTGCTAAAATGACCATAGTGAGGTCATTAATGGTTGTGGCAGCAATGCAGGGATGGATTACATCTCAAATGGATGTAAAAAACGCTTTTCTTCATGGAGACTTGCTTGAAATGTCTATATGAAAATTCCAAAAGGTTATATGGGACCAGGCTTGTCTATTAATCCAAAAGAGGGGGAGTTCTTAGAAAATCGAGTACTTAAATTGAAGAAAACCTTGTATGGACTCGAACAAGAACCACGCCAGTGGTTTGCCAAGCTCACAGAAGCTCTGAAGTCATTTGACTACATTCAGTCCAAGATTGATTATTATCTCTTCACCAAGCACTCTGGAAGCTGTTTTGTTGTTGTGCTCATCTATGTTGATGATCTGCTAATTGCAAGAAACAACCAGTAAGAAATAGACAATCTCAAATCTCTTCTCTCCAAGAAATTCAAAATGAAGGATCTTGGTAAATTGAGATACTTTCTTGGTCTGGAGATTGATCACTCATCCTTAGGGATTTCATATCTTAGAAAAAATATGCTCTGGATGTGATTGGTGAATTTGGGCTAGCAAAGGCAAGGCCGGTGAAAATTCCCATGGACATACACATCAAACTCACACCCAACTTAGGAGATCCTTTACCTAATGCAAAGATATATCAAAGATTGGTTGGAAAACTCTTGTACTTGACCATCACAAGACCTGATATCAGCTTTGCAGTCCAAGTCTTAGCTTAATTCATGCAAGCTCCCACTACTGCTCACCTATAGGCAGCCAAGAGAACATTGAGATATCTTTTGAACTCACCTGGCAAAGGAATACTATTAGGTAGTGAGTTTGCAACCATACTCACTGCATACTGTGACAGTGACTGGTTGGCTGTCCAGTCACAAGAAAGTCAACTACAGGCTACTGCATTCTCTTGGGGAATTCTCCAGTGTCATGGAAAGCAAAGAAACAATCAGTGATGTCTAGATCCTCAGCTGAAGCAGAGTACAGAGCAATGACACTTACTATTTGTGTAGTAACTTGGTTGACTTCCTTACTCAAGGATCTGGGCATTAAAAACCTTAGGCCTACTACCTTGAGGTGTGATAACAAGGCTTTCATATCCATTGCTACTAACCTAGTGCTGCATGAGAAAACAAAGCATGTTGAAATTGATCAACAATTTGTGCGAGAGAAAGTTCAAGATGGTGCTGTCAAGCCAGCATATGTCTCTAATCCAAAGCAGCTTGCTGACATTCTCACCAAGATTCTGCTAGTGCAACAACATCATTATCTCCTGGGCAAGCTTGGAGTTACTTCACATCCACACCAAGCTTGAGGGGGAGTGATGAGAGGGAAGGAAGCTACCTGCCTATTTCCTTTTTTTTGTCTTGTTGTGACTATGTGCACCAGCCTGTCATTAGAATGGTTGGTTGTCCTTTTTTTATTATTCTCTTGTCTTTAGTGTTCTTTCCCGTTGGAATGATTTGTACATATAATGAAGGCTGTAATAGTAGAACTTTTGAATCAATGAGAATCAGTGTTTTCTCTGCTATCTAAATTATACCTCTCTGTGACTTTGTCATCATAGATGTAATGTTAGCTCTTATACAAGGTGGCCCATTGCCAAGGGGTAGAAAATTAAAGCAAGATTAGCAACTCAATTTGGTGTCCACAAGTCAACAATAATAACCAGATTATTCAAGGACATTAGCAAACAAATGGCACAAGAGTATGTAATTGATGTCAAGAACAAACAGTTAGGGAAAACTAGTCCCAAACCAAAAGATTATTCAGAAGAGTGGTTGCAAGCAGTCTTCTTGTACCTTAGAACAACAAATGCATCTATGCAAAGGCTCTTAAGGTTTCTCATGTGACACTACATAAATTGAAAAAGAAAGGAAAGCTCATAACACACAAAAGTATCAATCATCCAAGCCTCACATCAAACCACAACAAATGCAAGACTAGGGTGGCAACATTTTGAGTTCGAATCCTCCAAGAATTTTCTTGTGACCCGAACTCAACGCACTCACATCATACCACAAAAATGACCTAAACTCAAAGAACTTAAGATATAATTTTTTTTTGAGATTAAGAGATCACAAGAAAATGCTTTATAAAAAAATGCATCGCACGAGGTTAAATCTAGTTATAAATCTCTACTTTTCAAAAGGTATGAGAAAACACTTATGAATAGTGTGATGACAATTATATTTTTAAAATGTTTGTTTACCTATATGCCTCTATTATATATGATGTTAATTGTCTCCAAGCATTTCCTTGTGTGATTTGATGAATTAACTCTCATGAATAGTGTTTAGAAAATTATACCCTTTAAAATATTTATTTACTCATTTGCCCTCATTAATGTATATTGTGTTTTTTTTTTTAAAAAACTTTTAAGAATAGTGTGCGGATATCTATACCCAAAAAAATATTTGTTACATATTTCCCCTTCATTATGTTGTCAACAACTAAAAGAAATTCCCGTAACTGGCTAGCTATGATGCGTGCGTTAGCCACCCTAGTATAATAAAATTTTTGCTTTTAAAAAAAGTAAGAAAACTGTGCATCTTACTGATATAAACCTAATAAACCTCATAATAAACCTCATAATAATTAAAAATAATAATAGTTGATTTCCTCAAAAATAAAAAAATAAATAGTATGCTCTGATTCATAATGTTAGTCCCATTTACGTATATCGATACAAATTTTTGATCGTAAATATCTTTATTTTCACAGTAGTAAAAATTATAAAATTAGATATTAATAAAGTATGATGGATAAAATTAGATCTCATATGACTATGTTTGTTCTGACATAAAGTGAGAAATTGAGAAGATTCCCTCTAATTTATAATAGTCAAAATATTCTAAATGCGGCTGACATTAAGAAAGAAGGGGGTAGATTTGTTTTTTTTTTTTTTTCTTCTTTTTTATAAGTTTTTGGAGGAAAAATAATAATAGCAGTTGAATTTAGTGTAGCTTTATTAAGTTGAATTCATATTAATTGAACCCAAAGGAAAAAGGTTTAATTAAATCCTCCGAGCACATTGCTCCAAATACGCAAAGGCCAGCCCAGAAAACAAAAATCCAAAATCCAAAATCCAAATCCCTACAATCATCCCTACAATCCTCCCTCTATTTCCCACATAATACATCATCAAAGCCGCTGAACACTCCGCCACTTCCAAATCTCTGGCAACCACCCTTCACCGCCGGCAAACTCTCCCGACCCAATCATACCATCTCATGCATGGACACCTCCGATGCTCCTCCACTACGATGAGAATATCCTCCTCCATCCTCACCACCTTCACCACCTTCCGCCGCCGTATTTCCACCACCGCCACCGCCGTCTCCGACATCTCCGATGACATCACCTCCCTCCTCTCCTCCATTCTCTCTCTTCCGAATTGGCAAAAACATCCCTCCTTCAAACGCATCCTTCCTTCCATTTCTCCCACCCATGTATCCCTTCTCTTTGACCTTCACTCTCTCTCTCCTCAAACTGCACTCTGCTTCTTCTACTTCCTCTCTAATCGCCCCAACTTCCGCCACAATGCTCGCTCCCACGCCTCGCTTTTGCCCATTTTGGTTCGAGCTAAGGAATTTCAAAGTGCTGAGAAAATTAGGATGTCGATGATCAGGTATTGCGTTGATGATTCTGATGAGGTTAGGAATGTTTTAGATTCATTGATCAAGTTGAATTCTCGTGATTTGGGGGAGTTTAGATTTAGGTTGAATCTCAGGTGTTATAATTTCTTGCTTATGGCTTTATCTAGGTTTAATTTGATTGATGATATGATTCGTGTTTATAATACTATGTTGAATGATGATGGAATTACGCCCAATATTTATACTTTTAATACAATGATTAATGGGTTTTGTAAGTTGGGGAATGTTGATAAAGCTCGGGTGTATTTGAGTAGGATTTTGGCGGCGGGTTTGAGCCCTGATTCATTTACGTATTCTTCATTCATTTTAGGTTATTGTAGGAATAAGGATTTGGATAGTGCTTTTAAGGTGTTTAGGGAGATGCCGCGGAAGAAGTGTAAGAGGAATGAGGTTTCGTATAACTATATTATTCATGGTCTTTGTGAGGAGGGTAGGATTGATAAAGGGTTGCATTTGTTGTCTAAGATGGAGGTGGACAATTGCCAGCCCAATGTAAGGACATATACAATTCTTATATCTGCGTTATGTGGAGCAAGTAGGGGAATTGAAGCGATGAAATTGTTTGATGAGATGAGAGGGAAAGGATGTGAGCCAAATGGTCATACTTACACCGTGTTGATTAATTACTTGTGTAAAGAACATAAGCTTGATGAGGCTAGGAAGTTGTTTGATGAGATGTCAGTGATGAAAGTGGTTCGTAGTGTTGTTACATACAATGCCCTGCTTGATGGTTATTGCAAGCAAGGGAAGATTGAAGCGGGATTCCAGATTTTTAACCTAATGGAGATGAATGGTTGTTATCCTAATGTTCGAACTTACAATGCATTGATATGTGGGATTTGTAGAATTAATAAAGTACCTATAGCTATGGCATTGCTTGATAAAATGGCTGCACGTAAACTAACTCCTAGTTTGATTACATATAACTTGTTGATTAAGGGGCAGTGTAAAGATGGGCATATAGAAACTGCTTTTCGATTGCTTGATTTGATGAAGGAAAGTGAGGTGCAACCTGATGAATGGACTTACAGCACTATTATTGACTCACTTTGTAAAGCGGGAAGGGTCCAAAAGGCTCGTGCCATTTTTGACACTCTTAAGGAGAATGGTGTAAAGGCAAATGAAGTAACTTTTACTGCACTAATTGATGGTTATTGCAAGGCAGGAAAAAATGATTCTGCCCATGCCTTATTTGAGATGATGCTCGAAGAGAAGTGCGTGCCAAATTCTTTTGTCTACAATGTGCTCATTGATGGCTTGTGCAGAGAGAAAAAATTGAATGAGGCTTCATTGTTGTTGAAGAAAATGATAGTTGCAAATGTGAAGCCAGATATATGTACATATTCAATAATTATTAATGGAATTCTCAAAGATGGTTCTCTTGATGTTGCTTATGGAGTTCTAGAGCAGATGCACACTGCAGGTTATAAGCCTGATGCTTGCACATATACTACATTTATCCACGCTCACTGTAGCAGGGGAAACTTAGAGGAGGCAGAAAATTGGATGAAGATTATGATTAAAGGAGGCGTTTTGCTAGATGTTGTCACTTACACTGTCCTTATTGACGGGTATGGTCGCCTAAGATCACTAACTCAAGCCTTTAATGTCCTCAAGCAAATGATGGATGCTGACTGTGAACCTTCTGAGCTTACTTATTCTGTTTTGATTAAGCATATTTTGAATGAGAAGCGGCTAATTAGTGAAGAAAAAGGAACTGGTACTGATGTGCATATAAATGCCAGTTCTTCTGATGTAGGTTATGTTTGGAAGGTGGTGGACTTTGAAACAGTTATAGAGCTCTTAAAAAACATGACTAAACATGGCTGTGCACCGAGCATTAGCACTTATAAAACTCTCATTGATGGGTTCTGCAAGAGAGGACGAATCAAGGAAGCTCAATGGCTGGTTGATTACATGAAACATGGTGGAATTCAACCTGATGAAGGTATCCGTAATTCCATCATAAAATGCAACTGCATGCTAGGATTGTATGAAGAAGCCTTCCAGCTGATCAATAACATGGTTACAATGGGTGAGTTACCACACCTGGAATCTTATACATCACTTATATGTGGATTGTGTGCTAAAGAGGATATGAATCAAGCAGAGGCAGTATTTTGCAGCCTACTTCGCTGTGGGTATAATAATGATGAGATAGCATGGAAAGTTCTGATTGATGGCTTGTTGAAGAGGGGTCTTGCCGATAGTTGCTCTGAACTAGTTAAAGTCATGGAGAACAATAATTGCCACCCAAAACCTCACACTTATTCAATGTTGATTGAGGGTCTTCTAGGTATTTCAGAGGGAAAATAACCTATGATATCACCGTGGCTACCAAGTCAGATGTATTCTTCTTTGGTTATTTGTGCTCCAGTATTTTTATAAATGGCAATGTAGGATGTTGATCCATGTTATGGACCAGACGAAGATATTCAAACTGCGATTCATAATTCAAGGGGACCAAGATCTGCTTAATTTGCTGCAGAGGTTAATTTCCTCCTTTTACTGTTAAATGGCTTACCTCTTGTTTTAGCTAAGAGACAAAGATATCTCTTTGCCTAATTGTTTTCAGACAGTCTAACTATAGCAAGCTTTTTTGCGGCGGAAAACTTTAGATGAGCCACTCATCCATGGTTAATGAGCTGCAACGTTACGCTGTCCTCAGAAAACGAGTCGATGAGGTTGTGGGAAGATTTTTGCGGGAAAGCCTTAACCCTTCAGAGAGTATTATAAGACACCTCATTGAAATGGAGGTATGTTGATAGACAATCTTGATTGCATTATACGAAGTGCTTTTAAGGGCATACCAAAATTGAAGCGAAAATGGAAATTTTGTATTGTTTTCCATCATATATCTAGTTTTACTTCTTAAATGTAGATCACCAATGCATAAATTTAAATTTAAATCAATTGTTTGATGAATTGCCAAGGTCATGTCAGCTAATTTGATTTATGGTGGTATGAGCCAAGCAGTCATCCAACAGGGGAGACTGAACAACGAAAATTCTCATGTATAATCTTTATTTCCAACACTTTATGCTACTGGGAAGGGGGATAAACTACTGTTAAGGACATATTCTTGCAACAACTATCATGGTCAAAGGAAGATATCTGTTTCTACATGTTTTTTAATATCAATAGTGTGATAATCACTGTATAAAGACCATCAAAGGAATTCAAGATTATCCAAATTACCAAGTTCAAATATATATCACCATTATTTTTTCTAAGTTTCAAAGCATTCTGTTATTCTTCTTGTGGTACTATACCTTCTCTAAACCTTTGAAGATTGATATAGCTTGTATGGGAAGCAGTCAAATTGATTGATTAAAAAATTACTGTTAAGAAAGTGCTCAGAGGTTTGTGCTGTTTTCAAACTGGAATTAGGATAATTGCATTCATTAAAACCCATCCCCTTTGCATCTAAGATAGGAGGATTTGAAGCACTCTGTTTGATGACTAATATTTCAGTCAAGTATTTCTTTCACTTAAGGTATAGGAAAGATGTCTTCTGTAAAAAGTGTTAGTGGGCCCATGTACCTTATTCTCACTCCTGGCTATTTCTTAGGGATGTATGTGCTATGAACCCACCCAGACCCCCCAATTAAGCAAGTGTATGTGTGTTGCTGTGGGAAGAGTACTATGGACAAATCTCCTTGAGTTGGATAGAAGAGCAGAGTGGTGTGAAGAGTTAATTACATGAGAGAGAAAGTGACTACGCTAAATAACAGAGACGAGGGAAGGGGAATGTAGTGAGCAATTTGTTGTGATTATTCTTTTTGTTTTGTGAGTGAAACTGCCTCTCAATAGCTGTAAAAAATATTTTCTTTGGGTAATGTTGATACAGAAAACTTTCTCTCTCTCTCTCTCTCTCTCTTTTTTCTTTTTCTTTCTTCTTTTCCAATTAATCTTTTTTTTTTTTCATCTCTTCTGCAAATCAATCTGTATTTCCAGATCTGAGTACAGTATAATGTCATCCTGTATGAAACTTGAATTTATGGCTGATTGGTGCTCACTGTTCAGGCATTGTCTGTGTTTTTCCCGCCTCCATTCTTCTCCATGTTCTTTTGTGAGATGTGGACTTTGATTTTATTTGTTCCTGTAAATGCTCATGGTGGTCGATCTCCTTGCTGAATTTTATTATGTAATTTTGGAATAAAATCTGCATTTTAAGTTTTGATGCTAGAAATGCTCACATTCAAGTACATATGTGCTTTGCAGATGGATTACATAAACACTTCCCACCCAAACTTTTATTGGTGGAAACAGAGCACTAGAAATGGCTCAGCAACAAATTAGATTATCACTGATAGTTGTACCAGTTTCTAGACAAAGGGTATTGATTTCCATCATACATTATTATAATGGAAGCCATTTGTCCTTATAACTATTTGCTGCACAAATATCATCTTTATGATTTTTCATATTCTGGATCAGGATGGTGGTGAATCTGACACGACTCGAGTTTCTGAAAGGAGTTCGAGATCTAGAGCAAATGTCAGGTCACTAGCAAATGGCTTTATTAAGCCACCAGCCAATGGAGTGATATCGGATCAGGTGCAATTATTTACTTCCTGGTCTATACTTCTCGATGCTAAAAATCTCACCTTATCTCTTTTGAAAAGCATAGTGAAGAACTTCATGTTTCTTTTATAGACTATGGAACACACAGAATTTAGTTGTTATTGCTTCATTGATTCCATGTATGGAATACTTTCTCAGTTATTCATCTGTTTGACTGAATAGGGAGTTCGAGCAAGTACAGAAGCAGAAAGAAATCGACCTACTGGTAATCTCCTCCCCTCCCCTCCCCAGCTCCACCCTCTTTTTATTTGTGTATGTATGCTTGTAATTTTTTTTCTTCCTTCTAGCAGTGTTTATATCCAGTCTCTTGATCAAGAGCACTGCTGGTTTATTGCTGTGAATAGTGTCACGATCTACAGAATTAGGATGTCATTGTCACTGGTCAGTACGTGCGAGGGAGGATGATATTTATGGTTTATCAGTATGTTGAAATGTGCATTCATAATTACAATTTTCTTTTTGTAGATTCTTTTGGGAATGTATTGTAGATGCTGACCATGCAGTGGTGCTGGTTACTTAGCTAAGTTGTCAGAAGGGGATATCTTAAACTGGCTACTATGCTGGTAAATGATGCTAATGGAGTAATATTTTCTATAGAAAAAATCGCACTTTGATACTAATCAATTTCATAGGTTTTACCTATTGAAGTACCCAGTGTGTTGTTAAGAAAAAGTTATACATGGTAGACATTATTTAAGGACTGAGTTTAAACAGTATACATTATCAGAGAGATTGATTGCTTTTGCAATTACTGTCAAGGATTAATGGTGTCAAATCCTTGGTTTCAGCTTATAAGTAATGAGACAGAGACCCACATACCAATGATCTATGTGAGTGCATCTTACAATTTATTCTTCATTTGTACTAAAAAGGGGGTTGAAACATGATGATTTCAGATTTAGTCAAGTTAGCAAGTAGAGATTGTGAGGAGAGAGTGATGCCTAATTACTTTTACATGTGTCAATACGGGTAGCAAGTAGAGATTGTGAAACAATGAAAGCAGTTGAACAATCAATGTACCCAGAATATACTATGTGCATGACATTAAGAAATAAATTTTCATATCTGTTGGCTTTTAGTTGGATATTCCATGGCACATCCGTTGCACCTTAGCAAATGCTGAATATATGTGGTCTGTAACACTTGATTTATACTGATTCTCTTGTACAAAAACTCATCATAAGATATTGTATTATGAAAGTTGCCACTTTGAAAGATTTTGAGCCATATACCGAGTATACAATTTGGTCATCAGTTATTTGTTTCACAGAATTACTGCCCTTATGAAACATAATTTGTTGGGAAAAAGGAACTTTTGATAGTCACTTGATTTTATTAAAATTATTTTATGATCTAACAAAAAAAAAAAAAAAAAAAATTTAGCCAGCATCCGAAAGCCAAAATGGAGTGTGTTTCTTGTTGCAAGAGGCACTATGATTTTATGTACCTCTAGTAAATGTCTACTTTGGGTAGAGTAGTAAAGGAACAACAATGGAAAAAGTAGAAACATGTTTAGCAAAACCCAAGAAAAAGATGTACTAAATTCACAATTTTCATCAACCATAAAAAATGAAAATAAATAAATAAAAGGATGCATGGAAAGAATTATCCTTTAACATATGGCATAGTTTTCTATAAGCATATCCAAAATTAAGGTGTAATTGAATGTGTATAAAAATGATCATACTTAATTTGATGGTGGCTCGATCTTCCATGGATGTCGAGTGTCCCACAAGGAGATGCAGGGTCAAGGAATTGCAGTGCAATTCTCCTTTGGCAGAAAAGGTTTGAGTGTGCTAGGGGGAACTTACGATTTAATTTTGCCAAAGGAGACTTGCCCTGTGATTTCCCCTGCGTACATGTGGTGATGTGAAAGGCAGTTTTCTTATGAGCTAGATGCCTAGAAGTAAGTTGGTTTTGTCTTGTTTAAAGCTAGTTATTGACGATCTCTTTGTTTCTTGTAATCAGACTATGTATCTACATTGAAGACCTTGTTAACACGTGTCATTTTGATATTTCTATCTGAAGGTAATTAATCTATCTTGATTATATATGCTTAAGTGGGTCTATATACCTTCATAATTACTTGAAGTGTAGGGGAATTTGAGTGATAATTGTTCATTTTTGCATAACTTATTAAAGATACGTACATTTTTTCTTACGCTTGCTAAGGTATATCTCTGCAAAGATCACTAAAGCTGATGTCTAATTCCAGTAAAGATATACAAAAACTTCTATACTAGGGTCATAGTTTTAATTGTTGATGTCCAATTTTGACAGAAATTTCCTCTGTATCAATTTATCAAAAGCACATCTGTTGGAAGCGAGTTCACTTAACCTTCTACTTTGGCGCATGTGCTGGTTTCTTATACAAGCTTTGGAAAGTATAGAGAGATGAATGTTTCTTCTGAGATTGAATGCTTGATTAGTCTTTGAGATTTGAGGCTTGAGAGATACTCTTTACAGTACATCTACAGGGTTTATTTTCATGTAGGATAGGTTAGTTTACCCAAGTGCCCACTCTTTTTAAGGGTTTTGGAGGCTTTCTTTCATTGCTGCTAACTGTAGTCATTTTATACATCTGTCTGTAAATTTTTTGGAGTATATTTTCCGCTCTATAGTTTTACTGTTTACATTCTTTAAACAAACTCATCAGATTTTAATATGAACTGCATGCAGTAATATATATGAACTTCAGTACCGACCTTAGAATTGTGTACATAATTTGCTAGCACCTTATTTGGTCTATTTGTCATCTACTCATGTGCTTGATCATTACATGAGCTCCTCTAAGAGTCTGCATATATATTGGATAATCACATTCAATTTGCGGAATTGACCTCTGAAACCAATCAAACCGCCAGATTTTTGGCTTTGATTTAATGATTTATTCATCATAAAACCTCAACTGCTTTGAATGTGTTTTAGAAACTACTGGAGAGTTTCCCTGAATAACAAGAACATGCTGCATGACCCTCGGCATTCACTACCACATCTGGTCCGACAATCACTTGAACATTGTCACCATTCTACTCAGATTTCTTGTTAAATGTCAAATTCGTGACAAATAAGAGTCTACTTATCTTTGATGGCGTGTGGAATGCTCAGGATGATAGTGCGGGGCTAGGATGTATTTTTCGACATGTTCATTCAGCAGAAGTTTTGGGTGGTAGTGCTTGGGCTTGTCGGACTTTCGTCTGCTTTCAGGCTGAATTGCAAGCTTGCTTAGGGGCTCTTCAGGCTGCTTGTCTAAAGGGGTTTCTTCATATTCTTCTCTATACTGATTGTGCTAATGTGATTTCTCTCGTGTCGTGCCTGATCTGATGATATTACTTGTCTTTGTATTCTTGAGGGTACCAGGGCTATCCTTTCAGAATTTTCAGCTTGTCAGATCCGTAAAGTACATCATTCAGCATTAGAACTTGGCAATGACTAATTGAGAAGTATTTCGGTTTCGAGGCTGCAGTTAAGACTAAATTGAGAATAAAATAAGAACGCAATTCTTGTTAGGGTCATCACATAACTCTAATCATGTATGTTATAAATTTCTGCCAACAAAGAATCGCCCTGTTAAATTTTTCTACCTACACCGAAATTTGTAATAATTCTGTGAACGAATGGTTTATGCTATGATGTATTCCTTATACCTTAACTTTTGTTTCTTTCTTTACTCCTATGGTCCTGATTTGCTAGGTTCCTCAGCTCCTATCCTGCCTTTGACTGCTTTTCTCCAACATTGCACCGTAGCATAAGGAATTCTGTATGTGCGTCTAACATGATATGTTTTACTTACACCTGTGACCTATCCATTCATGTAAGCCATATTGGTGCCCTGAAAAACTTTGTCTCCAATTTCCTCAGGCTGACCATTAATCTTCACGCTAGACATAAGACCTTACTGGAAGAGAAAAATATTACTCGTATGTTAATAGCAGATAAGATGCTCGTCCTCTAAGAGTCTGCTAATACTACAAAGAGTCTTATGTATTAGTCTGCTATCATGAGCTCTTGTAAGAGTCTGCTAATACTACCTCTGATATGAGGCCGTTAATCTTCATGCTAGACTTATGACCTTACTTTTTAAGAGAAAAATCTTACTCATACGTAATATTGTAATAATGGAAACATCTTGCGGAGATTATAGAAAAAGTGTTGGGAGAATGAGATAGAAATTATCTGAGACTAATTAAAGAGAATACTTACAAAAGCTGGAAGGAGTATTAAGTGTTACTCAATTGCACATTAACCGGAGTATTACTTTTCAAAGCTGTGTTGTTTTATCTTTCGCACTCTAATATCATTTTCTGTTAACCATGACTAACACACAAAGTCACTTTGAAAAGACAGATTGTCAAGCAAAGACACCAGCAGCTTAATTTGTTGTCCAATAATTTCTTCGAACTGTCAACTTTTGCCAGGTTTAAACAAGTACAACAGTATAAATGTTATCTACTTGAATTGTATATATACTGAACAGGTACACCATCTAACAGTAGGACTAAAACAAATCTTGTGCACCTGGAAAATTTTGAATAATCTGGTTTTGCTTCTGAAGTCTTAAGCATTTGTCAGATCATGTGGAACTAAGCTAACTTCCTTAACATAGGATGTTTTGGGTGCGAAGTTCTGTATAGTTCTGCTGTTGAAGCCTGTACAACATGGCCATAAAGGTTGCGTTATGTCTAACGAATTTCTTCTGCTTTCTTCTTTTAGAGCACAAAAGATATAGCATTCCTCCCGCAAAAACTCTGAGCAGGTAGCTTACTGTAACCATGCCTATGTGCAATGCTGCATAAGAATTATTAGACCGGCACAAAATGTAAATGGTGTAATGTGCTCAAAGAAAAAGCACATTTCATTTCATACAATTGACCCGGAAAAAGGAAGAGAATTAAGAAGAAAAAAAACTACTTAGAATTTCAGTAGCATTGTTTCAGAGAAGTGAATCGAAATAACCGTGGTAGTAAATTACAGGGCAATTCTCCTTTGGCATAACAGAAGTATGCAATGTATGAGCATGGATTGTATGCCAAAGGAGAGTTGCATTGTCATTCACCATCACCAACCACTATTTGTCTTCTGAAACCTCTGCCTAATTTGCTCGGGACTTATTCAATGCCATATTTATACCTGAACTACTCATGGATATTCCATAGGAAAATAGAGCATATGCTGGGACAGCACAAGTGGGTCTTCCCTATCATATTTATGGAGTATGGTCCCTAAGCCTTCTCCTTATCTCTTTCCTCAGTTAATCTCGGGAATCTTTAGCGTGCATCTGCATATCTCTTGTCTAGATTATACTCATATTGTGCATCAATAAAGAAAAAAATGTTGAATAGTCTCAGATTGTGATAGATACTGTGCATTGCAATCTTTATTTATTTATTTATTTATTAATGTCATAATGTAGTTCATAAGATTAGTTTTACATGCTTGCGAGCTCATTTCCAAGAGGACTTCAGATAATTGAACTAGTTGAGATTCATAGAATTGTACATTTGTACAAGTGACTTGCATGCCTTTGCACCTCTAATTCACCAAAAGAAATAAGAAAAAACACATAGAAAAGTGAAGGAAAAAGGTGTTATGAAAAGAAAAAAAGTAGAATAAAGTTTGTTTTGAAACTCACCTCATATGTTGTTAAAGCTTCTGGAAGGTATATAGTTAAATGACTAACTTTTTTGTGATCTCATAGCAACCATAAATTGTATGTTGTACTTGCATTCGTTACACGGAGGCAATATAGCAAGAATATTTAGCAAAAGATAAAATGCCTCCCCTTGAAGGAAGTATATCCATGACATATTTCAGCCTCCTTAACTTTCATATTCCACTCATAACACTTGGTTGCTTCTTATTTCTTACTGCGAATATCCTTGTAAGAGTTGTAACAGGCATAACCCTGCGTCTAGTACATCATAGTCTCATGGAATCAAATCTTGTAAGCAATTTGTATCCGTAAAGTTATAAAGTAATTGAATAAGTGCTGGTAAGAACTAATGTAGGTAGTAATTTGACCTCTGATATCTTGAGGATATGCCGTTTGAACATCCTTGTCAGTGCAACATAGCATGGGTCGTAATTGAACCAAAATCTGTAATCAAATTTGTGTTTATTTCGAAAGAAAATCAAGTGGTATTTGTCCCTCCTGAAGGGGCAGATCAAAGGCTTTTCTTACAAAAATTAAGTATAATGCCAGAATGCCAGATTTTTGTGATAATCATCTGCACAATTTCTAACATTTCAAGAAATTTATAAAAATATGTTCACATAGTCACATTTGAGTTACATAATAAGCAATAGATAATTTTCTTTGGAAGATTATATCACCTAATTAGTAGAAATCTAAGTTCATCAGTGTTTTCTTATGTTGGATACTTGAATTTTTGCGGTTAATTGTAGTAAGACCTTTAAAACTAGTATGTTTTCATTATAGTTAGTTGACCAACGAAGTTGTTGATGTAGTTCCTTAAGCAGAGGTGTATGTTTTACTATCATATCAACTACTAGTCCCAAAGTCTAATAGGACAAGGTTATGAGTCTAAAATTGATAATTTCTGACAAAAAAAATTTGTTTACGGAGTAGTTTTTTTTCTCCCAAAAAGCGAAAACTTTAGCACAAATATGCATGTCTAGGAACCATTGTAAATCATGACAGTTAAACTACATGTTAAAAACATTATACACAATATATTGCAAGTTCAATACTTTCTAATGAATCTAGTAACTATATTAGCTGTAGTATAGTGGATATGCTAAGAATATTCCGTGTTTCCATAGGAAATGCCGAACTCTAACATTAGCTATAAATACTTGTGCAACATGTAAGTAATTTGCATCAGTGCAACAACAACTGCATGGCTGTATTACAGGGAAATTACTCCGTTGGCAGGCAACAATATCCTCTGTATGCATTTCTTTAGCAAAATTGGAGGAGTTAAGTTCACTGCCAAAGGAGATTTGCCCGGCAATTCAGATATGCATGGTAGAAGGTCTGGTAAAGGTACTCTTAGCCTGGTTCCTTAGAAGGGGAAATTCTGTTTATTCATGCAGTGATGAATGATTCTCTGCAAGGGTAAGTTTCGAGTGTATTTCTTTTGAGGTTTGCAGCTGGTACTATAGAAGATAAAGTGAAGGGAAGTCATAAATATAAAATATGCATGGTTTGCATCCTTATTTTATTTGATGTTAGTTCGTTTAACTTTGCTTTTAAAAATAACTGCCTCATTGCTTCTAACATATCTAGATACCTGTTACATTGACAATTCTACATGCTTACTCGAGTTGATTTATCATAGTAAAGAACAAACTACTATAGTAGTTATTATATTGAGTACACCCCTGAACTTGATGATGATAGTTATGCATAGTGCATGTATTGTTTAGAAAGTATAGTGTAAGATTGATGACAATGGCGATAAAGAAACAGGCATTGCAGAAGTTAGTAGGGATGTAGTGTATGATTGCATAATCTTGATTATATGCTTACGTGGGTCTATATACCTTCATAACCAATTGTAGATGTTATGGAAATCGAGTGATAATTTTTAATTGTTGCATAACATATCAAAATATAAGCATATGTTTTCCTTGTATACATATTCATACATGCTTGTTAAGGTATTTCTCCGCAAAGATCACTATAAGCTGAAGTCTCTGTCTAGTAAAGATGTACACAAACTTCTATTCTAGGATCATATAGCCTCATAGGGGTATGTTATTGACGTCATTTTGTTGACAGAAATCTCCTCTGTCAAAAACACGTCTGTTGGAAGCGTATTCACTCGACCATTTCACCTTCTACTTTGGTGCATGTGCTGGTTACTTATACAATCTTTGGAAAGTATATAGACATGAATGTTTCTTCTGAATTGCATGCCTAATTAGTCTTTGAATTCTGTGTCTTAGGAAAAAACTTTGCAGTACCTTTTCAGAACATTTTTTGTAGGATAGGTCAATCTACCATTCTACCTTATTTCCCTATGTTCCACTTTTTGTAGTGTTTTCGAGCCTTTGTTTAGTTGATGTTAAGTGCAGTCATTCTATATCGTGTCTTTAATTTCTTTGAAGTATATTACTTTCTGTAAAGATTTCTCTTATCTAACAAAAACCTTAATATGAACTGCAGTAAGCAAGAATACAAAGTTCAGTACCGAGTTTGGATTTGGAACATTTGCAAATGATTTGCTAAACTTAGCAGCTCTATTCGCCATCTATTTATGAGCTTGTTGGTTAACATGAGCACCATCCTAAGCATCTGCTTATATCTTTGACTACTACATTCAACTTCTGTGATTCATCTCTTATACCAAACCACCAGATGTTTAGCTTTGATTTATATCATTATATGCTGCAGAGCTAATGGGAGACCATCTAAGGATGGAGTTGCTTCAGAAACTAGTGGAGAAGTTTCCCGAAATAACAAGCGCAAGCTGCATGAACCTTGACATTAACTAATTGTAACATTGTAACCGTTTATGTTACCTGGATTCTCTGAAGATGTCAAATTTGTTAGAAATAAGAGTACTAATTTCTTGTCTAGCACAACAATCCATTAGTTGTATGTTTCAAAAGCATTCCAAAAGAGCAAAGAATTATATGAAATTTATATAAGCATTCCAACTTAAGTTTCAGATAATGCAGGTTTAATTAACAAAAAATCACCTTTCATCATTTCAACATTAGAACTTTGCAATAACTGATAAATGATGACTTCAAAAGTCTTTCAGTTTTGAGGTTGCAGTTACGAGTAGAGAATGGCAGAATAACTCTTGTTTGACAGAAAATTTCATGACAATTGATAGAGTTAATTATGACTAGAGAAAGAGAATGTTGAAAAGCTTATTTATATTGATGAATATACA